AAATGTTACTCCTTTACGATCAGTTCAAATGGTGTAATTACACCACCAGCACACAATCCGCCTCCTCTCACCGTCCCAGAGTGCTGCCCTGGGGAGTGTTCTTGGTCTGCGGGGATAGAGTGTGGGCAGGAATCCCTTCCTGACTCCAGGGAGGTCCTTGCACGCTTTGACAGCTTACCATCCTCACTCCAAACTCAACTCTAATGCATGATTGGCTGAAAAAGAATGAATTGGCCTGCCAAAAGAGAGACCTCACTCAATTAGATGAAAATTGGGATAGCCAAATTGAAGATTGGTCATACACAAAGAGGGTGGTGATGTTGACATTTTTGCTGTGGGTAGCTGCTGCTAAAGCCCTTGGTGAGTTTTCTCACCTGGAGTGTTGGCTTGGTAAGCAGACCAACCTGACCTCCTCTGTCTTGAGCAACCTCTTGACAGATGAAGAGACTGTTAGGCACACCACGCTACAAAACCGAGCCGCCATAGACTTTCTGCTCCTGGCCCATGGACACAGCTGCGAGGAGTTTGACAGACTGTGCTGCTTTAACCTCTCCAGCCCCAGTGAAGGCATCCACGCCCACATCCAGAGACTCCAACACACGGTCCAGGAACTCTGGACTGAAAAGGAGCCCCAGTGGTTTAACGACCTTTTCAGGAGCTAGGGACTCAAAGGATGGGTTGCCTCCCTCCTCAAAAACATTTTTTGGGTTTTCTTAATAATTATTATTTTCCTATGTATGTTTTCATGTTTCAGAAAGTTACTAGCCAAATCTCTGGGAGATGCCTTTTTAATAAACAAAGAAGGGGGAGTTGTGGAGGCCAGGGAACTGGCTGATTCAGAAATCCTGGATCTCCCTTGGAGGGATGCTCTCTAGGCGAGGCACTTTTCTGTCAGAGAGAGAAAAGTGCCATTCCCAGAGATCTTTGAGTTGAGTTATGTTAATATGTTGCACCCCATTGGTGTTCTCCCCTGCCATTCCACCACATGTATCCCAGTTTCCCCCACCCCTCTCCTCCCCTATAAATACCCCAGTTTTTCCCCTGTTTGGAGAGCTGCTGTCACTGGCTGACTTCTTTGAGGGCCCTGCTTTAATAAAGGCCAGTTCTCTGTGGATTGCCACACAGCACTCTAGTCCCTTCTTCCGAGTCGCCTGCGCACCTCCAGACAGGGATCATCAGCCGGGCAGAGGATGTGCCTGTGCCCCTGGGCAGTCCAATCGCGGACCGCTTCTTCAGGGTAGTCACGGCACTCCTGCCACCTCCACCGCCGTGGCAGGTCTTGATAGTGGGTTCATTGTGCAGGACAGGGCTGCTAGAGCCATGCGGTTCCAGGGGGTTACAGGACTGTGGGATTTCTCTGCAGGCAGACATGGGGCAAACAGGTCTACAGCCAGCGGTGGAGCTTGAGTTGAGCTGAGACAGACCCAGAGAGAGGCGATGAACCAATGGCACAGACAGGGGAAAAGAGCCTGTTCCGCACATGCACCACATGGCACTCCTTCGTCATGCCTGCTGCAGAGCGAGCCATCCCAGACAAGGGGCCTCGGTGTCTGGGCCGCACTCGCCTTGTTGAGTCGCTGCCTCCTCTAGGAAGTCAGGTGCTTTCCGTATGACCAGGTGCGGGGGCAGAGATGTGTCCAAGGGGGATCTGTCCCCGAGCGACTCCCTTCAGCCCAACCTCACCAGCAGCCTGTCTCTCGCTCATGAACAGTCAGCGGGCAGGCCAGCCTCTGGGGTGAGTCAGCCCCAGATGAGCCCCGTCCTGCAGGCTGTAGCCAAGAGTGAGGCCAAGTCTCGAAGGGCGTGAGTCCCGGGAGAGAGAGAGAGAGAGACGGAACAAATGAAAGGTTTGCAGTATCCAAAGCTGAAGCCGCTTAGTGGTCCCGGGACCTTGAGGAAGCAGAGCTCCCATAGGAGTCACTGAAATCTCTTTCCAAGAGTAAAACTCTTATGAATTTCCATCTCCCCAGTGTAATCCATTTCTCTCCCATGAGTTCTCACTAAGAGGCAGTTGCCTTCCAAGGGAAAAAAAGTGGTAGCAATGTGACACGGACTTGGATTCTCCAGGTCAGGCTTGGTAGTTGTGGGCTGTCACAGCCAACAGAGCACAAACAAACCCTCTGCATGCTGACACCACCTGAGAACTGCATGGGGACAGCAGCTGGAGTTCCAGGCACACACAATTGGACATGGAGATTTCCAGCAGGGTGGCAAAGACAGAACAGCAGCTGGTAACTGGTGCAGGATCAAGCTCTGAGGGGAGTGGGCAAAGATGGAGAACCAGCCAAAGCAGTGGTGCAAGGACTCGCTGTGGCCATGGCAGTGTTAAGGAAAGGATCCAGGGTGAGCATTCCCAAGACTCTCTGGGAGAGCTCCCAAGGCAAGAGATTTTAACTGCTGGAACTGGAGCTCCTTCACAGAGGCGGCTCCAGTGACCCCACACATCCTTGCTTGAGTCCCCACACCCTCCATTAACACACTCCTGCCAGGTTTCCTCACCACTTCAACCCCAGGTTTTCCATGGCTGAGTCTCAGATATCTCGCTCCATAAAGCCATTTATTCATGGCAAGGTAACACAGGAACAGCTGGAGCTGCTGCATCTGAGCAGGACCCTGAACAGAGGACCCCTGGGTTCATGTCATTTTTCTCACCATTTTCTCTTTTTACCTAACATTTCCCACCCTTTCCCCCTAGAGTTTCCAACCATTTTTTCTCTCACACTTCCCACCCTCTGTCCCCTCACATTTCTTGTCATTTTTGGCCTCATGTTTCCTGACTTTTCCCCCGTTATGTTTTGCACCTATTTCTTCATCTCATTTCCTGTCTTTTTCTCCTCATGTTTCCTGTCCTTTTTCCCCCTCACATTTCCCGGCATTTTGTCCCCTCATATTTCCTTCCATTTTCTCCCCCTCACACTTCCTTCCCTTCTGTCTCCTGACATTTGCCATCATTTTTTCTCTCATATTTCCTGCCCTTTCTTACCTTTCTGTTTCACATCTTTTCTTTCTCTCGTTTCCAGTCCATTTGGCTCAAGTTTCCTGTCCTTTTTTGCCTTATGTTTCCCACCATTTTCTCCCCTCATTTTTTCTGCCCCTTTCTCACACCCTCACGTTCCCATACCATTTGGTCCCCAAATGTTTTCTGCCCTTTTATCCCCTCACTTTTCCCACCCTTTCCTCCTCACATTTCCAGCCCAAAATTCTCTCTTTTCCTCCCAAGTCTCTCTTCTAGATTTAACATAATTGCTTCCATATTGCTTCAAAAATGGTGTTCTATACTTGTAGGTAGAGCTACCTGTAGTACCAGTCATTGTGAATTCCGTGATTGATCTAAAGAGGGTTTTTTTTAATTTAAAAAGCCAATAGATATCTAACAACTATGTATAATATTTTCATAAAGTCTATAATTTCTATATATGGGATGGTATATGTAATTTTTAAATTATTTAATATTATAATGTTTAGATATTATACATAATTTATTATAGATAATTCATATATATTGTTTACTTATATAAATTATATATATAAGATAACTAACTTTCTACAACTATCATTGGTATTAAAAGGTCTGTGGCTGTGTTTGATCCAGCCACACTGGGTCTTCTCCAAGCATTTTAGATAGCCNCCTTCCCGCACCCAAAATTTCCCTTTCTCACACCAGAAGCCCCAATTCATACCCCAGGTTCCTCCCAACACCCACAAATCCCCTCAATGCCCATTCCCCTCCTTCACCCTGGGGCCTCCCATCCATTGAACTTGCCAAAAAGGCATTTTCATTCCATGGGAAAAAATTCTCCAGGTCAGGCTCAGTAGTTGTGGGCTGTCACAGCCAACAGAGCACAAACAAACCCTCTGCATGCTGACACCACCTGAGAACTGCATGGGGACAGCAGCTGGAGTTCCAGGCACACACAATTGGACATGGAGATTTCCAGCAGGGTGGCAAAGACAGAACAGCAGCTGGTAACTGGTGCAGGATCAAGCTCTGAGGGGAGTGGGCAAAGATGGAGAACCAGCCAAAGCAGTGGTGCAAGGACTCGCTGTGGCCATGGCAGTGTTAAGGAAAGGATCCAGGGTGAGCATTCCCAAGACTCTCTGGGAGAGCTCCCAAGGCAAGAGATTTTAACTGCTGGAACTGGAGCCCCTTCACAGAGGCAGCTCCAGTGACCCCACACATCCCTGCTTGAGTGCCCACACCCTCCATTAACACACTCCTGCCAGGTTTCCTCACCACTTCAACCCCAGGTTTCCCATAGCAGAGTATCAGATGTCTTGTTGCACAAATCCACTTATTATCAGTGCACTAACACTGAAACAGTTTGAGCTGCTGCATATGAGCAAGACCATGCACACAGGACCTTTGGCTTCATGTAATTTGTCTTGCCATTTTCCCTTTCCCCCTCACATTTCCTTCCCTTTCCTACCCTCACATTTCCCACCATTTTTACCCATGTTTTCTGCCATTTTTTCCTCTCACAATTCCCACCATTTTGTCCCCTCACATCTCCCGTTTTTACCTAACTTTTCAGCCCTTTTCCGTGTCATGTTTCACACCCTTTTCCCCTCACATTTCCCACAATTTTTTCCACTCCTGATCCTGCCCTTTTGTCCCCTCATGCTTCCCATCTGCAAGTCTAGCTTTTGTTTTCGAGTTGTCTACTTGTGCTGGGTGTCTCCATGTCCATTTACCTTGCTCTCATCACAGGCCTTGGTCTCCTTCATCATCCATATGGGTTGGCAGCTCAGGGCTCTTGCTTTGTTTCATTGCTGCTTTCAGTAAATTGTTCTTAACTCAACCTGTGACCTTTCACTTTTTGCCTGCAGTTCTTCTCTCCATCCCACTGCAGAGGGAAGGGGAGTGGGAGAAGGGAGCAGTGTGTGGTTTGGAGTGTTTCAGTGGGAGCACCATCTTGGGGAAAACTGTGCTGTCACAAAGGGCCCCCTCCGTGAACTGCCACCTGCCCCTAGCAACAGCTCCCAGTCTTTGTTGACTTGGAACCAGCCCCCAGCTTGGAGTGTCCGGCAGGACAGTGACGGAACAGGACAGGAGCACACAGCTGGTGACAAGCCCATGAGCACAGCTCACGTCTTGCCCTGCCGCAGTCAGGTTATTTCAAGAAATTTTCCACCTTTCCTGCTCTCCTACATTTTTCTTTATTCTGTAAAATGGAGGAGAAACCCCCAAGACAGCCCAGGGTGGCCTGGGAGGAGGTGGTGGCCCCTCAGGAGAGCAGCTCTGCAGCCGAGCCCTACGAGGTGACCATGGTACAGCCACAGCAGCCCAGTGAGTGAGGAGCCTTGTGGGACTGGGCAGGGCTGGGTCCCCACACTGGGATCAGGTTTCCCCAGCACACGGGCAGCAGGGATCTCAGGGGTGGGAGGCTTGCCAGAGTGCTGAGGCTACTCAGGGAAGGACACCAGCCCTGGCACAGGCTCTGCTGAGGAGTGGGACAGCAGGGGGGCCCCAGCTCCTTCTCCGGAGTGTGAACAGCGATGGTCAGTGGCTGGCAGAAGGCAGTGGTGCTGTGAGATGCTGGACATGTCCTGCCCTTCTGCCTGCATGTTCCTCAGCCCAGGTTACTGGGAGCCACATGGAAAGGGCATGTCAGGGGAGCAGGCTTGGCCTGGGCAGAGGGCAGATCTTTTTCTGCTCTGTCCTGTCACAGCATCCTCTGCACCTCTCCCTTCTCTCCCCTTCCGTTAGGTGCCGTGTACACACAGGAAGCCAAGGACTTCATCCAGGCCTTTGTCAGCAGCCCTGACCAGGTACCCATGGCCTGTTGGATGGTGGCTGAGCTCAGCCAGAGGTGCTGGCTCTGAAGGGCAGCTGCTCCCACAGGGCACTGCACCCCAGGGCTCTGGTCCTGCTGGCTGGGTGTCCTTGCTTCATGCTACCCTTTGTCTCTGTCCCCCAGCTCCAGGATGAGGACCTGAAACTGAAGTTCCTTGACAGCGTCTGCACCCTGTGCAGAGATGCCAATGATGGTGGCTTGTCCCAGGACCTGGATGTTTTCTGCCACAAATACAAGCTGGGAGAGATGATCCAGGTGAAGGGGAACTCAACACTCTGGAGAAGGGGGCAAGAACCACCAGCAGCCTGTGAGGGCAATGCTTGGGCAGGGCAAGGCACTGGAGGCAGTGGCTGCTGGCAGCTGCCAGGTTCCAGCCCAGCTGTGCTCTGCAGGTGCTGCTGAAATTGGAACCCAAGAACAAGATTCGCACAGAGGTGCGGCGGCTCGCCATGCTCGCCCTCGCTGGACTGAGGTACTGGCCCAAGGGCCTACCCAGCGCTCCATGCCCACCTGCCCATCCCTTCTGGAAGCCCTGCCCCAGTGCTGCCCTTGAGGTGCTGCTCCCAGCACCAGTATCAAACTCGGCCCATCTCTCTTTGCAGCATGTTGGGGATGGTCCTGGAAAAGAGAAAACTGTTAAGAGCATGCTTTGAGAGCATCTTTTTCCTTCCTCCAAAGCGGGAAATGCAGAGTCTGGAAGCGTCTCTCTTTGTTCGGGTAAGTGCTGGAGAAGACACCAATCCCTCTGGGCTGTTTCTGGCCACCCTATGCTACCTTAGGACCAAAGATCCAGGGCAGGCCACATCCTCAGCTTCACTTTCCTACCCTCATCCCTTCGTCCCTTGCCAGGCTCCTGCACCATCCAGCAATGCTGGCTGCACACAGCCTGTTCCTGTTTCCCTCCCCTCACACTGGGACTTCAGATCAGTCTTCTAGGGGTGGGAGGGACAGCAGAATCACAGGCACTGCTGTCTGTCGTCCTTGCAGACTCTGCATGCCATGGACACTATGCTGGAGGTGATGGTGCTCAGCTCTCCTGCCTCCAAAACCATCAAGATTCTTCAGGACATCTTGGAGGTGTGGTCTGTGCACAGAGTGGGGGGTCAGAGGACTGTTCCTCACTCTGGAAGGGAAGGAGCCTGGGGTTGTGTCTGGTCTTGTCCTGGCTCCTGCCAAAGGAACCCTGTCCCATCCAGAACCAGGACACCCGTCAGTGCCGTGCAGGCAGAGCGTGCTGCGGTGAGGGTGCCCAGCTGCCCTGGGGAGCAGGGGATGGCCCCAGTCTCTGCAGGACCTCAAGGAGCAGAGAGTGGCCCCTGTCTTCCTTGCTGCCCACCGGGTTTGCCTGGGACCTTTGTGCCTGCCAGGGCCCTCAGGGGCAGGAGCCCTCCTGCAGGCTTTGCTTGAGGGCACAGGAAGCCTGAAGGGATGTTGCAAGTGTGTCGCAGGACCAGGGATGTGCTGCTGCTGCTGCTGCAGTGGGTGTCTGCTTGTAGGGCTCACCTGCAGCTTCTCTCTTCCCAGGAACTGCTGGGCTACATTGCCAGAGTGGCTGTGCAGGAGAGGGTCCTGGGCAGGGTTAGGCGGCTGAGCCGTTTGCTGGCCAACTCTTCCAATGTAAGGAGCGATTGCCCTCCAGCCAGGATATTTCCCCTTTCCTGTGCCTCGGTACAGCCACAGCTCTGAGGAGCCTGCAAGGCCTCAACTGCCCACCCTCAGCCTTTCTGCTCTTCTACCTGCCTCCCCCAGGCTGGGCAAAATGAGAACAGAGTTGCTGCCAGTGGACAGGTCCAGATCCCAGTCCTTGGGAAGCTGCTGGGACATCTCCTGTTCAAGTCTTTCAGGACAGAAAAGACAAGCTCTATGGCTCTGGATGGTCTCCGCTCTCTCTTCACATTCACCTGTCATCAGAAAGGTCAGAGAAGCTGTGGTGGGCTGCATCCCTGCACACAGCTACATCTCCAGATACATCTGCTTGTCTTCCCGGGCCTTGCAATGGCTCCTTCTTTTGACTGGTGCAGGTGCCACCAGTGTTGCTGTCACCTCTGCTCCTGCCCCATACTATCTCTGCAAGGCCCTTGATGGTGCCATGTAGCTGAGCTGCTCCCCAACACAGGACTCAGCCCCACTCTGCCCCTTCTCTGTGGCCCCTGGACAGCTTGTGTCCCGTCCTGCCACACTCCAGCCCTATGAGCCCTTCCCCCTGACTAATACTGCAGCCACAGGGTAACTGGGGGCTGCATGCAGAGCTCTGGGGGCTTGGAGCTTGCAAAGACAGCAGGACTGGGTACAGACACTGGAGGTAGGTCCCCCTTTCCACCAGTGCCCACCACCTTCTCCCATGACCAACTGCTCCCCAGCCATTCCTGCATCCCAACACTTGCCAGGGTTGGGTCAGCCACTGGCCCAGCAGCTGTGTCTCACCAATGTGTCTGTGTTTCCCCTCTTCTTTAGGTGCCACACTGCCAGAGGTTCATGCTGAACTTCCAGCATACTGGGAATCTGAGATCATCTCCTTGCTGAATACACCCAGCACCTGGAGAGTTCAGGTAAAGAGTCCTCCCACTTGCTGGGCCTGTCATCCGTGGAATCAGCAGGGGATCTGTGTGTGCAAAGCAGAATCGGTGGGGCTGTCCCTAGTGAGAAGGTTCCCGCTGTCCCCTGCAGGGAACACTGTGTTGGCAAAGCAGCAGCAGCAGCAGCTCTGCAGCCATGCTGGCCACCAGCAAGCTCTGGGGTCTCTGTAGGGCCCACGCCCCATATCCGAGAGCTGTGTCCTCCTCCCTGCCCTGGGGCCCCTCCTCATCCTCCCCTGTATAGAGACTGTGGGTACTGCTGCCACCTTTCCTGCAGCCACTGCCTCCAGCACTGCTCATGCTGCCCAGCCAAGCAGCACCCTCTAGCAGCACCTGGGCACTAGCTGGCTCTGGCCTCTGCTCCCTTCCTTCCTGCCACAGGCATTTGAGAAATACCTCAGGCCTGCTGAGAGGACAGGTGTCGTCCTTGTGGCCATTGAGATCTTGGGACGCTCCAGCCTCCAGGAGAAGCAAGCGCCAATGGAGTTTCTGGAGGTGGCCATGAAATTCCCTGAGCTGTGGCTAATGGATGTAAGTGGCTTGTGGCTGGATTGTACTGCTCTCGAGGTTCCTGCCTCCCTCCCTCCCAAAACCAGGGGTGTGAGGTCCTGAAGCCACCTTGAGGCAGAAGAGATGGTGTTGGGACCCCGCTTCTGACACCCAAATAATGTTAGGATCTGGTCATTAAAAGATGCCTTGGCCAAAGTTAAGGTGTGAACAAGACCATATGCCAAGGTCAATAGTGCAGATTAAATATAAGAATAAATGAGAGGTAGAAATAGAGGGGGAATGAGAGACACACACACAGATTACATAGCAAGATTGTCACCACGACATGGTTCCCTGTGGCGTAGCATTGGCCCTTCTTCTTCTGATCTTCTCAGTGCTGGGGATCCTCAGGTGTTCTCCAGGTAACACTTTTATCTGCCTGAGTCCAGGGTATCTGCAAGGCATCTGTGCTGTTGGCGCTACTTGGCTTGGCCTGTGTGTAAGCAGTTGCTTCCTTTTCCCACAGTTTGCCAGGGTGGGAAGTTTTGTCCAGACAGCTTACCCAGGTCTGCCTGACCAAGTGTGGTGTCTTGCTGTTGTTGTCTGTGCTTTTCCCACAGTCTGCACAATGACATTTTGTCTGGTGTGCTGATTCCAAACCTCTGTTCAGACCTGGAATTAACACCTTCCTTTTTGCCATCTGTGGAGGAAGTCCAGTCCTCCGACAGGCATCTTCCCTGGAGATTGATCCCCTAAGATAAGATAAAGCTGCCTAGTCACTGTGACTAAGCTGTGGACCCCTTCCTGCTTCAGGAACCCATGTTATCCCCCTGTTAACTATGGGTCACCTTATCCCCTCTCAGAACATTGGTCCCCTTCCTGATTCTCCCCTTCCTTATAAAAACCCCAGCTTTTGCCCAGGTTGGGGTTAGACCATCACTGGCCCCCTTTGCTGAAGCCTGCATTAAAGGACTCTGCAGAACGCCATATGTTCTTCCCCTCTCTTGTCTGCGTTGGCTGGGGTAACCTCTGAACAGAGCTGGCTGGGCTGAAGAGAACTGATCACAGCAGAAATCACTGCTAAAAGAGCTGGTCACCCTAAAGTCTCTGCCCATGCTCCAAGGGTTACCCCTGGCTGGAGACTGCTTGCAAAACCACAGGTGACAGCTCTGTCCAGTGGGACAGCCTAAATATCTGGGCTTGTTGCTGGCAGAAGCTGGGGGTCAGACAGGCCCCCAAGACCCAGCTGCAACAGCCATCTGCGCCTAGTGTTGTGGCTTATCTTATGTGAACTTCCTTCTTTGGCAGTGCTTTGAGATGAGGTAACTGTGTTCTTTAAGTCCTGACACAGGGATGGGCAGAGCAGCCCAAGACACAGCTGCACTGCAGTGCCAGCACCACCCTCACCTGTGCTCCCTCCAGGTGCCAAAGGTGGTGAGACACATCTTTGCGTACTGTGATGAAAAAAACACAATAACCGCTCACAGCTTTTGCACACTGCTTGACCTGATGGCAAATAAGTGGCCTGGGCTGGTCGTCGCAACAACTCTGAAGGTTGCACCAATATTCAGGTACTGGCCCTGACAGCCTGGAGTGTTTGTTCCCTGTGGGGACAGGGACCCTGAGACTCTCTGGCTGCTCAACCCAAAGAACACTGCATGATCCCCAAAGGGAGCAGGGCCCTCCATCCCACCACGCTTCCCAGCTCAGGCCCACAGCAGCCAAAGCTGGCTGGGCCAGCCCAGAGGCAGCTCGCTGCCCCCAGCCCCATGGGGAACACCCTGTTGGCCGTGTCCACCTGCCAGGGCAGGGTCCCAGGGCACCCCAAGCCCTGCAGGGCTGGCCCAGGCTGCACTGTGGTGGCCAAGGCAGCCCCACTGACTGTGCTCTGCCTCACAGCAACAAAGTCTATCTGTGGAAGGCGATGTTCTCTGTGCGCCAGACTCTGGAGAAGGTTTTGAAGGAGCTGCAAATCCAGCTCCAGGACTGGCATAGCAACATCTTCACTCAGCAGCAGAAGTCTTGCCTCACATTCTTGTCTGTGAGTCATCAGGAAAAGCCCATGTGCCCTTGCCCTCAGCTGCTGGTGGGACACAGGAGCTGTGCTGGGGGAGCCCTGCCAGCTTTCTGCTGCTTCCTTCCAGATGCTGGTCTCTGATGATGTGGATGAAGATGAACTGGATCCATTGTACAAAGAGTTGAGATCTCTGAAGTATTCAGGAATGGAAGTGGTCTCTTTGGTTCTCAGGGCCCTTGTGACACTGTCAGAGAGAGCTGAGACGGTGAGCAGGCTGCTGTCAAGGGCAGAATGTGTCACCTGGACTCTGAGGTCTCAGGGAAGGTGGTGGCTTGTCCTGGGCTGTGAGTCAGGTGCTGGTGTGACTGCTCCAAATGCCCTGCCTGCCATGGTGTGGCCTGGTGGCTGCCTGGGGACTGACCAGGCACAGAAGCTCTCAGAATGGAAGACAGAATGGAAACTGTCTTTTACACAGGCAAGAAAAATAAAGCAAGTCCTCCGAGAGTTCCTGAAAATCCGATGGGAATGGTCTTGGGACATTTCAGTGATGGTCATAGACATCTTCCAAAATGTGCTAGGGCACCTGAAGAAGAGAGAGGTCAGCCACATGGCTGTGAAGGTGGTGCAGAATCTCTGGCAGCTCTTTGATGCGGTAAGGCTGATGTGGGAGCCTGAGCCCTGCAGAGGGGCCCTGGGTAACGACAGCTTCCCTGCAGCCCTGGGAGCAGCACTGGGAGCAGGCCCCGCTCCCCTGGGCTCTCCTGGGATAGATTCTGGGCCTTGCAGATTCTGGGCTCTGCTTCTGCCTGCTCTGGGCTGGGACTCTGGAGCATCACCCCTCACCTCAGCTACCTCAGCTCAGCCCTTCCTGGCTGCAGGCAGGGAGCCACTGTGTGTGAAACTCACATTTCCTCCTTCCTATCAGAAGGAAGACTGTGTGCGGGAGCGCTCCATCTGCCTCTTCAGAGACCTGCTGGGCAAAACATTGTGTGAGGACAAGTGCATCATGAAGAAATATGCATGGAAGGCCCTGGTCTGCCTCCTCCTTCACATGAGTGACCAGGCCCCCAATGTGGCCAAGGTACCAATGTCCAGGTTGAGCACTGACCCAGGGACATGTGGCTGACATCTGCCAGGGGTCCCAGGCATAGGGGAAAGGGCTGCTGGCAGCAGGTAGCTTTTATCCCTGGGCAGCCCCTGGGAACCAGGGCCAGCAGGGCTGGAAAAGCTGGCATGGCCATTTGCACCCTCTGCCCTGCCTGCTCCCGCAGGGCTTGGCAGCAGCCCGGCACCACTGAGGCCTGGACATGTGTGTCCCCAAAGGCTTCTCAGCTGTCCCCACAGTGTCCCCACAGAGCTTTGCACCTGAATCCCTGCTGGCCAAGACTGTTCCCAAGAGACCTCCACATGCTTTGGCAAGGGTGTGTCCCAGCTTCCTAAGGGCAGGGTCTGCCCAAGAACAAAGCCCAGGTCTCCTTCCACAGACCCTGGTGCCACCTCACAGCCTCTGTCCCACAGGCCTCCAAGGAAGCTGTCGTGGCTATAGCAGAGTTCCTCAAGTGGAAGGAGCTCAAGCACCTGGCGCAGACAGAGCAGACATGGAGGATGGGCGAGTGCTTGGTGAGGATGAGCCCCAGGCTGGGCGAGGGCTGCCCGCCACACCATGCTGGGGCTGTGAGTTCTGTAGCTGGGCCTCCCCTGGACTGCTGTGGCCCAGGGCCCAAAGCCTGGAGCTGCACTCTTGCTTCTGTGTCACGAACAGGAGCCTCCTCCAGGCCTACGTCCCCTCCATGGCCTCAGCATGAGGGAGGTCTCTGAGCCACAGGGGTGCTGGCAGGAGGGGCTGCTCTGGCCAGCTGGGGTCCTCTGAGAAATGCCCACACCCTTGTGCTCTCTCCAGCTGGCCAAGGACAGCAGCAGTCCTGAATGGTTCGTGTGGGCCAGCCAGCCCTACCTGCTGAGCCCTCATGCCCCCATGCGAGAGATGGCCCTCAGGTTCATTGGTGAGTCCCAGTCCCCAGTGTCCCTCTCGGGGCAGTCTGGCCCCATCCCCTCCAGCACTGTTGCTGCCACCGGCAGGGCCTCAGCCTCCCTGTGCCCACCGTGCTCACACAGGTGACTTTGGTGGCCACCTTGCCCAGTGCTAGCCCCAGGCTGCTGAGGCGGTCAGGCAGGGCCAGGGGCTATGTTGCTGGGAGCATGCTGGGGAGCAGGGGCTAATGGAGCTCTGTGCCCAGGGCTGGCTGCGCGGCACCTGACAAAGCAGACTGAGGACACCCTGGCTGAGGTCCTCTTGGGTGAGTGGGGAGCCAGGACTTGGGGGAGCTGAGGGAGTCTTTGAACACAGCGGGGCTCATCTGGGCTCTCTTTCTCTTGTAGAACTTGAAATACTGGAAACAACAGAGAAGGATGCCTCCATCCGTTGCCTGGCAGCTCAGACCAGCTTGATCCTGAAGTCTCTAAGCAAGCAGCGAAGATCACGATTCTCCCTGTGCAGGCTGTGCTGCTGGCGCCGCTGAGCAGAGAGGGACCTTCACATCAGGCTTGTCAGGGGCACAAACTCAAACACCTGCTGAATCATGAGGTGTGAAAAGGGTGCCCTGGCTTTCTAAGGTCCTTCTCAAAGCATAGCCCAGCATTTCAATGACCGTTGACTCTGCCATTGCCCTGACCAGTAGGGATCCATTCCCTATCACATCTTGCCAGAGCTTCTCTGGCTCTATCACTTCAGCCTGTGACAGGAATGGGTCACACCCCGGGAGCAGGATGACCCCAGGTGTGACTAGAGCACTTGCTCTACGGCGTTTTGGCTGTCAGACTGCACTCTGAGGAGACAAGGATGAGAGGGAAGTCTTTTGCATGGGATAATAGAGGATTTATTGCTCTGGGCAATCTTGGGGGCGAAAGAGAGAAAATTCAAGCATGCAACAGCTGAAATAGGGAGGCGGTTCCAAGGGAGGGTACAAAGCATCAGCTAATCAGAGATATCCTAGGGAGGGTAAAAGGCAGGGTTCACAAAATCATTATCCAATGAGGGAGGTAGGGGGGGAAAGTTGGGTCACATGGACTAATCAAGTGTTGAAGTTTAGGGGATTTCCAAAGTGGAATTCCAAGCATGCAGTGGGCCTAAGACAGATTGACATGAGACTCAGGGTAGATTGACAACATGGGGTGGGAGGGTCTCATTTGGACCAAACCATCAACTTAGGTAATGACAGAACATAACATTAACAAGAAACACCTTGCAACAATTCCCCACAGCTCCTGAGCATGGCATGAGCTGGTCTAGAATTACCCTGGGGTCATAGCCAGTCCCCTCCTGGCTGCAGCCAAATGGCTGAGCTGCCCTCCCTCAGCCCTTCTGCTCTTCTGCCTGCCTCCCTCAAGCTGGGCAAAATGAGGACAGAGGTGCTGCCTGTGGAGACATCCAGATGCCAGTCCTGGGGTAGCTGCTGGGACATCTTTTTAATTCATTCAAGACAGAAAAGGTTGCTTTATGGCTCTGGATGGTTTCTGTGCCTACTTCAAGTTCATCTGTCAGCAGAAAGGTCAGGGCAGCTGTTGTGGGCTGCATCCCTGTGAACGGCCACATCCCCCCGATGCGTTCACTTGTCTTCCTGGGCCTCGCAATCGCCCCTTGTGCATTCACAGGGGATCTCATGGGCTCTGCTTCTGTCACAGAATCTAAAATATTGTGGACTAGAAAGAAGAATCCTGGGTTCTTCAGACCTGGCTATCTAAAATGCTTGGAGAAGACCCAGTGTGGCTGGATCAAACACAGCCACAGACCTTTTAATACCAATGATAGTTGTAGAAAGTTAGTTATCTTATATATATAATTTATATAAGTAAACAATATATATGAATTATCTATAATAAATTATGTATAATATCTAAACATTATAATATTAAATAATTTAAAAATTACATATACCATCCCATATATAGAAATTATAGACTTTATGAAAATATTATACATAGTTGTTAGATATCTATTGGCTTTTTAAATTAAAAAAAACCCTCTTTAGATCAATCACGGAATTCACAATGACTGGTACTACAGGTAGCTCTACCTACAAGTATAGAACACCATTTTTGAAGCAATATGGAAGCAATTATGTTAAATCTAGAAGAGAGACTTGGGAGGAAAAGAGAGAATTTTGGGCTGGAAATGTGAGGAGGAAAGGGTGGGAAAAGTGAGGGGATAAAAGGGCAGAAAACATTTGGGGACCAAATGGTATGGGAACGTGAGGGTGTGAGAAAGGGGCAGAAAAAATGAGGGGAGAAAATGGTGGGAAACATAAGGCAAAAAAGGACAGGAAACTTGAGCCAAATGGACTGGAAACGAGAGAAAGAAAAGATGTGAAACAGAAAGGTAAGAAAGGGCAGGAAATATGAGAGAAAAAATGATGGCAAATGTCAGGAGACAGAAGGGAAGGAAGTGTGAGGGGGAGAAAATGGAAGGAAATATGAGGGGACAAAATGCCGGGAAATGTGAGGGGGAAAAAGGACAGGAAACATGAGGAGAAAAAGACAGGAAATGAGATGAAGAAATAGGTGCAAAACATAACGGGGGAAAAGTCAGGAAACATGAGGCCAAAAATGACAAGAAATGTGAGGGGACAGAGGGTGGGAAGTGTGAGAGAAAAAATGGTTGGAAACTCTAGGGGGAAAGGGTGGGAAATGTTAGGTTAAAAGAGAAAATGGTGAGAAAAATGACATGAACCCAGGGGTCCTCTGTTCAGGGTCCTGCTCAGATGCAGCAGCTCCAGCTGTTCCTGTGTTACCTTGCCATGAATAAATGGCTTTATGGAGCGAGATATCTGAGACTCAGCCATGGAAAACCTGGGGTTGAAGTGGTGAGGAAACCTGGCAGGAGTGTGTTAATGGAGGGTGTGGGGACTCAAGCAGGGATGTGTGGGGTCACTGGAGCCGCCTCCGTGAAGGAGCTCCAGTTCCAGCAGTTAAAATCTCTTGCCTTGGGAGCTCTCCCAGAGAGTCTTGGGAATGCTCACCCTGGATCCTTTCCTTAACACTGCCATGGCCACAGCGAGTCCTTGCACCACTGCTTTGGCTGGTTCTCCATCTTTGCCCACTCCCCTCAGAGCTTGATCCTGCACCAGTTACCAGCTGCTGTTCTGTCTTTGCCACCCTGCTGGAAATCTCCATGTCCAATTGTGTGTGCCTGGAACTCCAGCTGCTGTCCCCATGCAGTTCTCAGGTGGTGTCAGCATGCAGAGGGTTTGTTTGTGCTCTGTTGGCTGTGACAGCCCACAAGGGTTTGTTTGTGCTCTGTTGGCTGTGACAGCCCACAGCTACCGAGCCTGAGAATTTTTTCCCATGGAATGAAAGTGCCTTTTTGGCAAGTTCAATGGATGGGAGGTCCCAGGGTGAAGGAGGGGAATGGGCATTGAGGGGATTTGTGGGTGTTGGGAGGAACCTGGGGTATGAATTGGGGCTTCTGGTGTGAGAAAGGGAAATTTTGGGTGCGGGAAGGGAATCTGAGGGCTTGGGAGCATGATTTGGAGTGCAGAAGGGATTCCTTGAGTCCAAAAACTTGGAGAAAGGAGAAAATGTAGGTTGAGGGGGGAAAAGGGGGGCGTGGGGCAGAAAGGGGAGCTCAGAGGGTTGGGGGAAGAGGGCTGGAGTTTGAAGGGTCCCAGGAGGAGGAGGAGGAGGAGGAGGAGAAGCCCCCGCAGGAGGGTCTGGGAGGAGATTGGGGGGCCTGGGTCCTCCCTGAGGGGGAGGTTGTGGGAAGACTGGGGAAGCTGGGAGTCCCTGGGGGGAAAGTGGTAGTAGAATTGAGGGGCTCACCATGGGGGGTTTTGGGGTGAGGACTGGAAGATCCCAGCCCTTCAATGTGGTGTATCATCACCTCTAAATCATTCCCAAGGCTTTGCGAGTGTTTTTTAAGGGGGAGATATGGTTCAGGGGGGATTTGGGCGGCTGAAGGGGAACTGGGGCAGGGTATGCAAGGGGGTAGGAATGTGGGGAGGCTTCACGATTTTGGAGACACAGATTTCAGGTTGTCTTTGGGGTCACAATTCGGCGGGGCTCAGATTTTGGAGTCACAATGTGGGGAAATCGTTGGAATGAGGTTCAGATCTTGGCGGATTCCATGAGTTGAGGGTCAGTCTTGGTGTCAGATTTATGGAGGGGGGTACAATGTGAGGGAGGTCATATTTGGGAGTTCTCAGATTGGGTGTCACATGACTTGGGAAGGTCAGAGACTCCCAAAACCCCTCTGGCACTCCCCAAATCCTCCTCTGGGATCCCCAAGGCCTTATTGGGAACCACCCAAACCTCCTCTGGCAGCCCTCAACATCCCCCTGAACCCCCCAAACTCCCTCAAAACCCACAGCTTTCCCCTTCAGAACTCTGCCTGAATTTCCCCCCTGGGGCTTCCCAAGGCCACCCAGACTCTCCCTGGGACCCCCAAACCCTTTTTGGTGTCCCCCAAACACCACCCTGAACCCCCAACTCTCCCCCTCCTGAAGCCCCCAGATCCCTTAGGGGCCACACAAACACTTTCTAGAACCCCACAAACACCCCCTGGGACCCCCAAATCCAATGGGGACCCTCAGTCTCCTGCTGGGAGACCCAAACCCCCTCACCCAGAACCACTCCAGCCCCTCTCACTTGAGCCCCCCAAACTGCCCCAGGGACCCCCAATCCTAAGTTCATCCCTGATGGAGCTGCATGGCATGGGAACTGCAAGTCCCAGGGACTTGAGCCCACCTGTCCCCGCATGCTGACACCACCTGAGAACTGCATGGGGACAGCAGCTGGAGTTCCAGGCACACACAATTGTACATAGAGATTTCCAGCAGGGTGGCAAAGACAGAACAGCAGCTGGCAATTGGTGCAGGATCAAGCTCTGAGGGGAGTGGGCAAAGATGGAGAACCAGCCAAAGCAGTGGTGCAAGGACTTGCTGTGGCCATGGCAGTGTTAAGGAAAGGATCCAGGGTGAGCATTCCCAAGACTCTCTGGGAGAGCTCCCAAGGCAAGAGATTTTAACTGCTGGAACTGGAGCCCCTTCACAGAGGCGGCTTCAGTGACCCCACAGGTCACATCTCCCACCCTTTTCCCCTGAAGTTTCTCACCACTTTTCCCCTCACACTTCCCGCCCTTTTGTCTCCTCATATTTCCTATCATTTTTTTGGCTTTATATTTCCTGCCTTTTTTATCCTTATCTTTTGCAGCCTCTTTTTCTCTTCACATTTCCCCTATTTTACCCCTCACATTTCCTCTTCTTCTTTGCACCTCACATGGCTTCTTGCCATTTTGTCCCCTCACATTTTTCCCCCTCACACTTCCTGCCCTTCTGTCTCCTCACATTTGCCATCATTTTTTCCTCTGACATTTCCTACCTTTTCTCCCTTCCTTTTTTGGACATGTTCTTTCTCTCATTTCCTTTCTTTTCTGCTCAAGTTCCCTGTTCTTTTTTGCTTTCCATTTCCCTTTTCTTCCCTCACGTTTCCATCCTTTTCTCCCATCATGTTTCCTGCCCTTTTGTCCCCTCATACTCCCTTCCATTTGGTTCCTTCATGTTTCCCACCCTTTTCTCCCCTCACATTTCCTGCCCTTCTCTCCCCTCATGTTCCCCACCATTTTGTCCCATCATGATCCCCACCATTTTGTCCCCTTATTTTTTGTACCCTACTGTCTCCTCACATTTCCCACCCGCAATTCTTGCTCCTCCACGCCAAGTTTCTCTTTTAGATTTAACGTAAGTGCTTCCATTTTGCTTCAAAAGTGGTGCACTATATGTGTAGGTAGAGTTACCAGTGTGAGCAATCATTATAGTTTCTGTAATATATTTAAATAGACTGTTTATTTTATTTATAAAG